GTGTCGTGGGGGTGGCGGGGGAGTTGTAATGCGACCCCAAAATCAAAATTCGGAATCCGTTTAACCGGATTGCCGCTCGCAATTTGTTCGGGAACCCGTTACCCTGCATACCCTGAAGGTTCCCATGGCGGCGCCCCCCTTTCGTTGTTTGTTGGCAATAAAGTCAAAAGAATAAAGAAAATAAAATTCGTGATTAAAACGAGCTGAAGCCGCCCGGACTCCGCTGGACACCGTACGGTGTACGGCGGATGGACGGCTGGCTGGCTGGCTGCGATTCAGCAGCGTACATCCGGATAGGTGAAGGCCATGATGAGCACCAAGAAGACGGCCACCTGAACGATGCCCACCAGAACGGTCTTGAGCAGCTGCGTCTGCATGCGTGGCTCCAGCTCATGGCCGGGCGTCTTCAGAGGCGTCACCTGGCGATGATTGGCGCGTTTACGGGTCTTCAATGGTGACGGATTAATCTTCTTGGGCATCTGTTGCTCAGCGACAGCCTGTGGCTCATCCTTGTCTGGATCTTCAGTAGCAACTGGAACTTCAGCAGCATCAGCAGCAGCTGGAGTGGCGGCAGCACTACCATCAGCACTACCAGCAGCACTACCAGCACCATTTGCAGATTCAGCTGCTGCAGCTGCTGCTGCGGCTGCGGCTTCCTCGCTAGTTGGAGTCAGTATACGCTTCATGTCCTCAGTCGACCAGGCCTTGTTCTTGGAGCGCACCGAGAGGCGATTGTAGGGCGCCATGTTGAACGGCAGCTGGCTGCCCAGAGGAATCTGCTGGGTGCAGGCACCGCCGCCCGTCTCCCTTGCCGGTGTGGGGGCTGGCACGTGCCCGGAGCGGATCATGTGCTGCAGCTCCCCATAGCCCAGGATGCTGTTGAAGAACATGGCGTCGTGCTCGAGCAAGTTGAATGGACGCGCCGGCGAGAGCGGACGCAGCTGCTGGAGCAGCACATTCGGATTCTCGCGCAGCATGCGGAACGAGGTGCGCTGCAGTCCGCCGCCCTCGGCCAGCGGCATATAGAAGCACTGCAGCTCGTCGGCGGTTTTCAGCTCCGTCAGGGTCTTCGTCTCGATGCGGTACTCACGGGCGTACCCAAAGCTGCGCGCACGACAGGCAATCCTGGCCCGCTGCCAGGCCAGCGCCAGCTGCTCGAGGCGACGCCAGCCCAGCTGGACGATGGGCAGCGGCTCGCGGCCGGCCAGCGTGAGAGAGGAGCGTGGCGTGTAGAACAGCATCGAGTCGCTGTCGACGGCCCTGGAGCTGAGGCCGCTGCCCCTGGCGCTGATCTGATTGTTGGCGCGCAGCGTTGCCTCCAGCTTCTCGCCCAGCTGCTGCAGCAGCTTGATCTCGCGCTGCAGTGTCGGTATATTCTGCCAGACCATTTCGATATCAATTTTGGGCTTACGTTGCTTTCGCTGCTGCTGCTTCTGCTGCTTCTGCTGCTCCTGCTTCTGCTCCTGCTCGTCCTGCTCGACCACATCCGTTTGCAGTGCCCGCTCGGCGAGGTGGAGCAGATGCTGCTGACGGTGGCGCACATCGATCAAATGTGTCTGCAGCTCCAACTCCTGCTCATTCTCACGCTCGCCGTCCATGTCCAAGTCACGATCCAGATCCTGGCATCTGGTGCTGCTGCCATAGCTAAACAGATCGCTGTCCATCTCGATCAAGTCATCGGTAGGAAAGTCGCACTCCTGCTGCTGCTGCTGCTGCTGCTGCTGCTGCTGCTGCTGCGACTGCGACTGCTGCTGATCGACGCTGTCCACATTGTCGCCGCTGTTGCGCAATGGACGCACCATGAACAGCTCCTTCACCTTCTTCACGGGCTTGCACAGATAGACGAAGCTCTGGTTCTGCTCCTCTGGCAGCTGCGATGCCTTCGCCAGCTTCAGCTTGCGCAGCTCGTTGCTGCTGTTGTTCAAGCTGGTTGTGCTGCTGCTGCTGGCGCTGCCGCTGCCACTGCCGCTGCTGCCGATGTTGGCGCTGCTGTTGCTGCTGTGGCTGCTGCTGCTGCAACTGTCGCCCATCACCAGCGGCTGTAGCTTCAGCTGCGGCTGCGGTGTCAGCAGTGATGTTGGCTCTGGCTCCTGGTCCAGCTCCTGGTCCTGATCCTGATCCTGGTCCAGATCCTGGTCTAGCTCTAAATCCAGCTCCAGCTCCCGCTCCAGCTCCCTCTGCAGCTCCAGCTCCAGCTGCTGCTGCTGCTTCTGCTGCTGCCTCTGCAGCTGTTTCTGCTGTTGCAGCTGCTGCTGTGTCTGTTGCTGCTTTGGCTGCGTTGCTGTCTTCTTCTTCATGGGCGACCTGCTGCGCCCGAATGCCACTCGGCTGCTGCCGATGATGGTAGTGACGGTAGTGGCAGCGTTGACGGTGTTGTGAATGCTTGAAATGTTGCTGTTGTTATTGTTAATGTTATTGCTGTTGTTGGTGGTGGCCAGCTTGGCTACGCGCGGCAGGAATTGTCCGCGTCCGGGTGCTGCACGTCGATTGGCATTCGGCTCGATAGCAACAGTTGTTGCATTGCCCAAGGGTCGATTGGCAGTGCTTAGATTGTTCAAGCGCTTCGAACGATTTCCAGTAGTAGCTGAGGAGAGGAAAGGATTAGATGTGGATAGTGAAAATATGATAAACTATTGGAATATGCTATGCAAGTAGGGGTGGTACTCAATGAGGGGGAGATAATCGAAGACCTATATCAGTAATATCACGATTTTTATAGAAATATACAGACACACACATACACACACATATATTCATATAAGAGCTACTCTATGGAACATTGGTTGCTGAAGAAGCTTTGTTCTAGAAGCTTTGTTCTAGATGTGCATTTGCCAAAGTCCTATAAGTTCTGTAACTTTGAGGATTGTAGAAAGTTTCCAAAATAAGAACTATTATATGGGAAATTCGCACAGCGTACGGTAAACATTACTATACGAAATTCATTCAACGGAACGAGGAACGGCTAAGAAGGGAAGAAGAAACATGTGTAGATCAACTAAGCCCATATAAGATCTGCCAAGCTTCCGAATATCCCAAGCCTGATACAGACTCTGACAGACAGACAGACCCTAAGGGAACGTATTAGACCGCTACCTACTTTCCAGATGTTACGCTTACCATTTGGAGTACGCTGCATTAGTTCTGTACGGGTGAAGGTGGTCTTGCGGCCTGTGCCCAAGGTATTTCCCATGCCGGCTTGAGGACCGGCCACTTGTAGCACCTGGGGCAGCCCATCGTTCTCCCGGTCGTTTCGCAGATGATTGAATCGTGCTCGATTCATTTTCGTGCTCTAGATCCTTGCCGATTTGATCATCAACCGTTTCTGTTGCCTGTTTTATTTTTCGGTTGCGTTTCCGGTTAACTTTGGGATTTTAAGGTTCGTTGGTTTTCCCTGCCAACGATCTGTCGCTTCTTATGTGTGCGTGTGTGCCTGTATCTGTGTCTGTGTGCGCGTACGTGTCACTATGTGTATATAGGAAAATCGACTCTGTCCAAAAGAAAAACGTGTTACTGATCGATGAAAAATATTTGTAATCCGGAGCTCAATTGATATCCATATCGAAACGAATGTATACACACTGTGAAAGCAAAGGCATATGCCCTAGGTTTTCTTGTTGACATTTCGTTTCAAAAGGGATGTAGATCTATGCTTTTAGGCATAAAGTCTCTAACAAAGTTGTGCTCACAGAGTTATTGATGTATTATGGTAGCATGAACACCCTCATTCAGTGCGAATCAAATGGTTTCCTATCGGGTGCAATTGAAATGAAATTTGGTAACCTTTAATGCTTATGAGTCCACATAAATCCCCTGGAGAGCTATTTACACTGGTATCTGTTTTAGTAGACGTAGCTGCTCTACCTTGAGCTCTACCAGAGGCTCTACCGAGCTCATTTCTTATGATTATTAGAGAGCACGCTGCTGTTTTACGTCATATTATATTCGTGCATATGGAGAGAGATCTTGGACAATGTCATACAAACTTAGCGAATAAAATTAGTGAATCTCAAGAAACTTCAATTTGGATACAAGTTAACTCTACCGAGGATACTGTAGCTAAAACAAAACTGAGCGAATTTTGAAAGCTTCTAAGAATTGTATATCCCTTACTTCTCTGTATCTATAAAAAATGAAGACGTTTTCCAGCAAAATTCGATGCCCCCCAATGTATCTATAACACATGCAAATATTCAAATATTCAAATTTTTATTATATTCATTCAACACATTTCATTCGCCATGGATATCATATAGTTGGAAAGCAATTGTATAAGCTATGATGGAGATGAGTAACGCGTAATGCGTAGAGCTTCGCGCTGCAGCATTTCGTAGTGTTGGTCTATAAGACTCGAGTCGTCATTCGTGTCTAGCCGAAAGCTAGGCTTCCTTGACGGACGTCGCACCTGGTGGGTCACGCGATCCGGTTGACTCAGTTTCCTCGGTCGCCTGGCTTCGTAGAGGTTGGAGATGTGACAGCAGTTCGGCTGGGCTCGACCAAATGGATAGATGCTGCTAACGGGCCCCGGCACAAAGGCCGGCTGCAATCGATTCGGCTTGTTGTGCGATCGTATGTCGATCCAGTGGTGACGATGCAGCTCCTGCCTCTTGAGATCGTCCGCGAAACGCACTTCAGGCATGACAGAAAGTGTCACAGAACAAGGGTTTTTCAAAAATACTAAGAATTTTGAATATATACAAATGCCTGAAATTCATAACTCGGCCTACTCTAAGCAAATCTAAAGAGCAACAGGTTGAAGTGAAGTAAAAAAATCTATTCTAAGAGGAGCTACATATGTATGAGCTGCTGATTTCTCTTATCATTCGCAACTGGTTCAAGTAAAAAGCTGTGTCAGAGCTCCGGTAACACTTCTTTAGAAAATTTCTTGTAGGAGTCTCAATTAAAATGATACTAAGAAAATGTTTAAGAAAATATATTTGAAAATTTTAACTTATATTCCCTCAATTAATTAAAAAAATAAAAATAGATTTTAAAAAATTTTAAATCAAAAATTATAAAATGCAGAGAATACCAATCAGTATACATATTCTAGAATTTTTTAGAGATTTTCTAGTATTTTAGTATATTTTGTATTACTTAAAAAAATATAGAATACGAATTTTTTATTTTTTATTGAGTATATATTTT